TTCTAGGTGTATCAGGCTTGCCTCAAACAGCCCCCTCCTGACTGTTGGGATTGTAAGCATGAGCTACCACATCTCCCTTAGCTTTCTAAATAGTCATTTCTTCCTAGTTCATTTCCAAATGTCTTCCAATGGACACAAGTAACTGCAACAAGAAAGATAACAGCAGGATTTCTGAGACGATTCAGCTAGAAATATGTGGATACTCTAAGTTATTCCCTTGGTAAGCAACATGCATTTAATTTTCGGAACTTACAGATTACCTCCATGACAGCTTCAAAGAACACATTGGTGTCTTTACATATGCCAAGTACAGAGTTCCTAGATGATCCTCACAGGCTGAAATCCTTCAAGCATTTCCGTACATGATTCACATCACTAAGAGAAAGTAATACTGACTTGAGAGAATGTGTGTGTGTGTTTAAAGTTTAGTTTTTTGGTAAACATAGAACTCCCTCATGACCCAGCCATACCACTTGTGGGCATCTCAAATCTGGCTCTCTTTTTCACTATGGTCCAGTCATACTGGATTTGGCTTGCTGTGAGTTTGAGAAAGCCCCTTTTCTGTCTCATGGTCTCAAACAAGGCATTCTACTGTTTCTCCTTTGTTCTCTCTTTTTTTTCCTCCCCATGAACTTTTGCTTAGTTGATCAGCTTAACTATTTCCCCAGAGAAGAAATTTTGATTTGTAAGAGGAAGTTAGGTCTGTTTTCTACTCTCATGTTCCCCTGTGCTTCTCCACAGGATTGATCAAACCTATAATATTTCCTTATTTTTATAATTATCTGTTGGCACTCTTCAGTAGACTTTATGCTCCCTGAAGGTAGGGACTGCATTCTGTTTATTCCCTTACTGCTAAGTCCCTAGCTCAGGCCCACTGTGTGGTACATGGGAATCATTTAGTGTATATTTGTTAACAAACAAATGAATGAACAAATACAAGTTCATATAATGCTGTCATCTTGAGCTACTGTAACAGAATGCCATTTCTTCGGTCTTAGTCTACTAAAGCTACTATAAAAGAATATAATAAACTGGATGGTTTATTAAAAACGAAACATTTATTTCTCATAGTGGTAGAATCTAAGAAGTCCAGGCTCAACGGGCTGGAAGATGTAAGGCCTCTCTTGGTGGAAGGGGCAAGTGAATTCTCTGGGGTTCTGATTTCTAAGGACACTGATCCCATTCATGAGGGCCCTGTTGCCATGACCTAATCACCTTCCAAAGACTCCACCGCCTAGCGCCCTTACCTTCGGGTAGGATTGCAACATACAAGGGTTTTTCTTTTTCTTTTGAGAGAGTCTCATTATGTAGCTCAGGCTGTCCTCTCACAATCCTTCCTCCCACTTCCCAAGAACTAAGATTACAGGTATGTGCCACCACACTCAGCCTGACCTACAAGTTGTTGTTTGTCAGTGTTGGGGCTTGAACTCTGGGCTTGGGCACCATTCCTCACCTCTTCAGCTCAAGGTGAGTGCTCTACCACTTGAGCCACAGCACCACTTCTGGTTTTCTTGTGGTTAATTGGAAATAAGAGTCTCACAGACTTTCCTGCCCGGACTGGCTTTGAACCGTGATCCTCAGATCTCAGCCTCCTGAGCAGCTAGGATTACAGGCGTGAGCCACCAACACCCGGCCTGACTGACAAGTTTTGTGGGGTCATAAACATTCTATCCATGTGGACTGGATAGCTTGAACAACAGAAATTTATAGTTCTGGAGACTAGGAAGCGAAAGATCAAGGTGCTAGCCTGTTTGGTTCCTAGTAAAGGGTTCTTCTCCTGGCTTTCGATCCACTACCTTCTTCCTGTTGTCTGATATAAAGGTACCAATCCCATCTGGCGACCATCATGAACACAGCTATGTCTGATTAGTTTCCAAAGTTCTCATCTCCAAATGCTTCAGCTGAGGTCACATTGAAAGTAAGGGCTATGAATTTGGGAAGAGGAGAATCATACCCTTCCACAGAATATACATTATCTCATTTGATGCCAAGAAACCCATGACATGGGTTCCATTTTTGAGTGAAAGAAAAGAAGCTTAAGAAGTTAAATTTTCCCAACGGTACTCAGCTCAGGAGTGACTGAACTTAAAGGGCTTCAAATTGAGTAATAATTGCTTTAAAAGCAACTGAAGACTTGTTGCTTGTGGAGGCTCTCAGACATTATCCTGTTTTGAGCCGTCTGTTCTGAAGGTAAATGTAGTGCAGGTGAGGTAAGAACATGAAGCAAAACCATGTTTAGAAGGGTAGGAGCTCAGCAGGGCACAGAGAGCTCCTGATGTGGAGAGGAAAGAAAGATATTGAAAAGGCTGGTTCATCCTCAAGAAAGACTTGGGGAAGGAGTTTGACAGGAAACTGGACCCTGGAAGGTTGTGGGTGGAAGTTGGAATTATGATGTCAACTGTCATGGGGCAATGTTTGACTCATCTTCCTTTACCCTCTGGGCCTTGTTCCTACGTTCCACACACTGGCACAGTTTTTCAGAATAGAGAAAAAGAAGAGGGGGATGTGGGAGAAAAGAAGCAGCTCTTCCTTTATATCCAAGTGGTGGGAATTACAAAGATCTCTCTGATGAATAGCTCTTAGAACAGGAACATTTCTCCCACATCGAACAAGAGTTAAGATAAGGGTGAGATTCCCACAGCCCTCTGAAGCCTAAGGAACTCAAAATGGTCTGGAAATAGCACCAGTAATGATACGTCTCAATTCAGATAACATTCATGGGGCTGTTTGTCTGAATCGTAGAAGTTGCTGGAGAAATACTGAGCTGTGAAGTTGTCAACCACATGGTGATTAAGAAACTTGGGGATACCAACATCAGGGATGCTGTATCTTCAGAAAGACGAATCCTCAGCCACAGCCTGAAGGGTATAGGCAGTGCCAGGAACAAACTGACTTTCCTCCCAATGGTTCCTACTCTTCCTCCTCTTGGCAGCCACTGCTCTTTGCATAGCCACTGACCACCTGGTGCTTGCCAAGGAGGAAACTCAGGAGTTTGGTACAATGTGTTGGAGCTGATGTTGTGAGTGAGACCATTCAATAGCCATATAGCCATTGAATGCCAGAGTCACTGGCATCTCTGAAATTAAGGGATAAATTATGCCCTCTTCCTTACCTAATGGGAGTCTTGGGGGATGGTGAAATGATGTTTGTCTGTCTGTATGCATGTATGTATGAAGTAATTTTTGCAGTGCTAGGATTAAACTTGGGGCCTTAACCACTCTACTGCTCCAGCCACTCCCCTAGTCCTTTAGCCTTACATTGGTTTTCAGGGAGTCTCACATTAGTCTCTCTCAAAGTACAGAGGCTAACTCATCTTCTTCATCCTCTTTGCCTTGTTCCCAGGTCAGCTCCGGCTGACTGTGGACCATGATCCTTCTAACTCTGCTTCCCTACTAATTGTGACCAAAGGCAGATACCATCGTGCTCAGCCTTAAATGATATATTGTGTATGTGCTCCATAAACAGCTGAACATTACACAAAGCAAAAATTGGTGGCAATTCTCATTTGAGGATCTGGTTGAAGCCTTAAATTCCTCTTCTTGTTACTCTATTGTGTGCCTAGGCCCTCTTCTAAGAATTTGACATATATTAAGACACTTAATCTGCTGAGTAGCTGGAGTAGGTGTTATTATATCCACCGTTTACATATGAAGGAACAGGGAGGTTAAATGACTTGTGCAGAGTCACATAGTAAGTGACAGAGACTCAAGGTCAGGTTCAAGAACCCACTGTTAATCATCAGACTAAGCTGCCTCCTTTGTGCTTTATTAGTGCTCTTGGGATAAGGATGAGCACCTGATAGAATCACATTTTCTTGCCTTAAGGATAGATAAGCTACTGGAAAGGATAGATAAGGATAGATAAGCTATGTACCTCATTCATATTCACACACAGGTGCAAACACACTTAACACAGTGCCTGCCACATAGATGGAACTCAATAAAAATTTGTTGAGTGACTATATCTGTGGAAGTAGACAAGTTTGATTCATCTGTTTCTCCTTTGTTTTGTCTTAGTTCACTGTGTCCATTTTCTTCAACTCTATTCCATAGTAAATTGGTTGTTTGGCATTTCTCACAGTCCATGTGATCTTAGTACTTTTTCTGCTCAGACAATACTCACATAGAGTGGACTTAAGACATAAACACTGTACTTAGAGAATAGTCTGTGGAGCACTGGGTTCAGTAGAGCTGACCTTTCTTCTGCTCAATGTGGAGTCTCACTATCCAGAATCTCAAGAGCCCATTTCTTCCCTCGTGTGCCTGGAAAGTTGACTAGGAAAATAAAAACCCAAAGTGACCCTAGGCAGATAAATCAATCCCCCCCCACCCCCCTCTCTCTCTTTAGTAGAAAAGGAAGAGATGACCTAAGGTTTTGATGGAAGAAAACAGGTTATGCTTGCCGAGGGAGTTGGGGAGCCTGGAATCCAGATGATCCGTTTTGTTTCACAGCACTACTGGTAAGATTTCTTGTAACAAGAAAGAAAAAAAAAGTACCCTGATAGCTTGTATATTGGACTTGTTGAAGGAACCAGATGTTTGAATTTGAAATCCTGTAGCCTAGTAGACAAGAATTCTTGCAGTATTGTAAATCGAGTCCGGTTCTCACTGTAGAGGAAAGCTGACCAAAGACTGGCATTAGACTATTAAAGTGGCAATCACCCTCATGATAAATCCTCCAGCCAGGGATGTCATTGTCAGTTTGTTTGGGGAATTGTCCGTGGCCTCCCCTCCGCCTCCCCATCCTCCCCGGTTCAGCCCTCCCAATTGGGATCATCACCTCGCGGTCCAACTCCGCCTTCTCCTGGGCCGCGGATTCAGGCCGTGGAAGGGCGGCGGGGGGCGGGGCCCAGGCGCGGGGTCGCGCCGGCGGGAGCGCGCACCCAGGCAGGCGGGAGGGTGGAAGTGAAGAGGGACGGGAGGCTAGAGGACGCGCGAGGCCGCACGTGCGCGCGCCCCCGTCATCTCATCCGGCGCGCCTACGCACGCGCCCGCCCGCCCGCCCGCCCGCGCTCCCGGGAAGTCTCGCGATGCCGTAGTCGGCAGTTCCCGCAGCGGGTGGCTCCGGCTGTTGCTGTGGTTGCCTGAGTTGCTGCTGCGGCGGCCGCGGCGGAGCTGGTGGAGGTGTCGGCCCCGGGGGCGGATGTTGACATCGCGTTGTTGTTGTTGCGGATGGTAATGGCGGCGAGGGCGGGCCGGACCCCCTCTCCTCAGTAGCCGGAGCCGAGACAGCGGGACAGGAACTCGGCGGCCTCGGCGCCGGCGTCGCGGCTCCCGCAGCCTCCGCCGCCTCGCCCGCCGGCCCCCCGGCGCCAGTCCTGGCCTCAGGCCCCTGGGCAGGGGGCCCGCCGGCGCAGGATGGCGGACTTCGACGAGATCTACGAGGAGGAGGAGGACGAGGAGCGGGCCCTGGAGGAGCAGCTGCTCAAGTACTCGCCGGACCCGGTGGTGGTCCGCGGCTCGGGGCACGTCACCGTGTAAGGCCCGGCGGAGGGCGAGGACGGGGATGGGAGGCCAGAGCGCGGGCACGGCCGGGCCCCAGCCACTCAGGACCCCCTTGCCCCGCCGCCGGTCCCGGCTCCGCGGCCTTGGCCAGGGGCAGGCGACCAGGAAGTGAGGACGTGCCTTGTTCTCGGTTCCTTAGGACTGGTGAGTGGGGACGGACACCGTCCCTCCTCCGCCCCCCCCCCCCCCCCCCGGGCCTGGCCGGGCCGGGCCGCCGGATCCCAGTGCGGAACGTGGTTTTTAGGGTCTGGCCGCCCCTCCAGGTTCGGAGTGGCACAGGCGGATTTATGACCCCCCCTAGTTACCCTTTGAGCCCGGTGACTTATGGCTCCGAAGCCACATCTGGGCCGTGTAAGGCCCCAGTGACAGTCGGTAATGAGGCTCACGGTGGGGTGTGTGTGTCTCACACATAACCCACAAGTCTTCCCCCGTCTCTTCAGGTGAGTTTCTGCAACCAGTGCAAGGTCCTGCAGTTGTGTACAGTAAGAATTTATGGATGAACATACATTTGAGATATGGAGGTGTATGTTTACAACGGATTTTAAAAAAATCTACAAGCTACTGTCAGGGCTTCCTGTAATCTTAAATCCTTCCTTGGGCCTGAACTGCCCCCACCCCACCCCACCCCCTTGTCATTTTCCAACAGCAACAGTCCAGTATTTTTCAAACAATAAGGAATGAAAGCTTTCTGAAAGGATGTGACTAATAAAAGGATGTGAAGACTTGAAGCAAGCAGTGAGCTGTCCGGAAGCAGGAAGTTAATGTTTCCCCCCCAGAGAAGCCTGGAGTTGTGTACAACTTGATACTCTTTTATTTTATGTTGCTTGCTTAAGACATAGGCCGATCTCCTGTTCTAGTAGTGTACTTCTGTTGTTTCACTTTGCCACTAGTACGAAAGGGCCAGCAAGACTGAGAAGGGCTGGGACATTTGTTGTCATATTTTGGTACAGGGTGAGTGGGATGTGCTGTGAATAACTCAGTAAAACAGACTTCTCCTATAAGACTGTCAGCGAAATCCTTAGATCCCAATATTGTCGAGACTTGACGTACTGACTAGTCATATTGCCTTTTGGGTATGCTTATGTAATGTTTTGATTCCTTTAGCACCTGTTAGTTTGTATTTAGGTGACCTAACAGGGTAAAAGCACTGAATAATCATTGTACCAGCGCCTGACCAGACAGTGGGTTTTATCACAACAGTTACTCTTTTAACTGTCATCATCATCTTAATTAAGAAAATATCATAGATACTAATACCATAGATACTAATTTTAACACATAATTACACCATTTATATTGTCACAAATTACCACTTAATACTCAGTTTTACTCAGGACTGTTCTCTATTTTTGCCTTGTTTTAAATCTGTGGGGTATGTAGGTGTTTAAATAAGGATTTACAAACTTTTTCATACTGTCTGTGCTCTCCTCTACAATCCTCATGTCAAAGAAAAGCTGACAGCATTTTATTTAAAAAAAAAATTCAGCCTTGGCTGTTGATAAAGCTCTGTGGTAGAGGGCTTGCCTAGCATGCTTGAGGCCATGCCTGAAAGTAGGTTTTTTGTTTTTCTTTCCTTGGATGACTCTCCTTATAATGAAAAGGAGGGAAATGGGGAAAAGTGACTAACCTGACAGGTTAGTTGTGGGCCAGACTTACTGATATTTTTGAAGTTTGGAGTTTTTTTTTTTATAATCTCTTAGGATAAGTTAGTATAAAACATTGATGACTTATTGATGACTTTGATTTTTCACAAGGATAGTAACTCCAAGGCAGTGTTAATCTAAAAGTTACAATGTAAAAGTAATTAGAATCTGGTACTAACCAATTAAGCTATCATAACTGCTGTGTTTTGCTTACATCTCCTTCCTTCATATCTGTCCCTTGTCAGAGTCAAACGAGACTTTCTTAGAATATATGAAACCTTTGACTTTTAATTTAAGCCATGTCATAGAGCCAAGTTATTTTGCTGCTGATTTCTAATGCACTCCTTTAATTTTACCAACTTACCTGTTCTTATATACTTTCTTGTGAACTTACTATCTCCATCTCCACAAACAATTTCTCATTCTTCAGCACCAGTTTTTATAAATGGCTTTGGGCTATCACTTTTTGCTTGTCTTTAAGATATTCTGTGGAAAATTGAAATGTCACTTGAAATAAGTTTGGAAATAGCTTTAGGGTGCAGTATGATCTTTGTATAGGAGATATCCAAGAACACCTTAGTGTTTATTGATCTTCCATATAGTACAGTTAATAAAATACTATCTTTCTTGAAATGTTTCAACATCTCAAGACTGGATTCTGTGGTTAGCTATCAAAAAGCTGAACACAATTTGCCCATATTACAGAATTACTTCAATTAATCATTTATTTGAAAAACTTACTAATTCCCACCATTTTCTCCACTCAATATAAGGCATATTCCATTTTTATTATTATTTTTTAAAGACAAGGGCTTGCTGTATTCAGACTACTCTTAAGCTTCTGGACTTAGTGGTCTTCCCACTTTAACCTTCTAAGTGGGCTGGGAAGGTGGCTCAGTGGTAGAGCGCTTTCCTTGCATGCATGAGGCCCTGAGTTAGATTCCTCAGCACCACATAAGCAAAAAAGAAAAAAGCCGGAAGTGGTGCTGTGGTTCAAGTGGTAGAGCACTAGCCTTGAGCTGAAGAGCTGAGGGACAGCACCCAGGGCCAGAGCGCAAGCCCCACGATGGGACCCCAAAAAAGCAAACAAACCTAAGTACTGGGACTACACGAGTTTGCTAGTATGTCTTCCTTGCCATATTTCAGAGATTAAACTCTGGAGATTTTTGAAGACTTTCTATTGGTATTTCCTTACAGGCTGCAAGGTTTTATGAGGATTGTTTTTACCAGCCTTGATTTCTGCATTGTTTAGTGTAATGTTTAGATTATTGTAGGTACTGAAATAGTCTCTGAATGAAGTAGTTGCATACATTTTTTGCATCTTGTTGAATTGCCAAATTAATTACCATTTTCTGCATTTTCTAGTGAAGGTAAACTAGAGAACTATCACATTGAAAAAAATAAGTGGCTTTTTTTTTTCCTTTGGAAGGGACAGTGCCAAGGGATAGTGGCATGTGGCACCACATTTTACTCTAGGAATTTGTACCAATAAGACCTTAAGTGAGTCTTCTATGAGACACATTTGGGAAAAAATACATAGTGCTGTGGAAGTGTCTTTGACATCAGTCTTACTTGTTTCAATTCTCAGATGCTCTAATTAACCACAGGCATATTTACCTTTCTGAACCTTAGTTTTCTCATATGAAAAAGGAAATAAATATCTGCCTTAGTGGTTAGGTGTGAGAATCAGAAATAATTTAGTGATCTTGAGCCATATAGGCATTCAACAAAGTTTTTACTTACCTTATATTTTGGCATTTTTGCCTGCACATTTTTTTGGTTGATCTTTACCATTTTGTTGGAAATTATTCTACAATGTGACATGCCTTATTGAGCATAGATGTGAATTGTAAGATTGACTGATTGGGGCTAGGAATGTGGCTTAGTGGTAGAATGCTTGCCTAGCATGTATGAAGCTCATGGGTCCAATTCCTCAGTATCACATAAACAGAAAAAGCTAGAAGTGGTGCTGTGACTATAGTGGTAGAGTGTTAGCCTTGAGCAAAAGAAGCTCAGGGAGCTGGGCACCGGTGGTTCACGCCTGTAATCCTAGCTACTCAGGTGGCTGAGATCTGGGGATCACAGTTCAAAGCCAGCCTGGGCAGGAAAGTCTGTGAGACAATCTTACCTCCAGTGAACCACTAGAAAACTGGAAGTGGCACTGTGGCTCAAGTGGTAGAGTACTGCTCTTGAGCTGAAGAGCTCAGGGACTGCCCAAGTCCAGAGTTAAAGCCCCACGACCACCCTTCCCCAACCCCCCCAAAAAAGAAGCAGCTCAGGGACAGTGTCCAGGTCCTGAGTTCAAGCCCCAGGACTAGCCAAAAAAAAAACAAACAAAAAAACTGAATCATTTAGTCCAAAGCCTATATAAGATGGGTATGTGTTGGGCTGGGAAGGTGGCTCAGTGGTAAAGCACTTGCCTTGCATGCCTGAGGCCCTGGGTTCGATTCCTCAGCACCACATATGCAAAAAGAAAAAAGCCAGAAGTGGCACTGTGGCTCAAGTGGTAGAGTGCTAGCCTTGAGCTGAGGGACAGCGCCCAGGCCCAGAGTTCAGGCCCCATGACCGGACCCCCCCCCCCCCCCGAAAAAAAAGCTGGGTATGTGGTGATGACTTGGGACCTTGAGGTTAGCTGGAGTTTGCGAATCTTCTCTAAATGCACTTTCTTTGGAATTTTCTAAGTCTAGACGCTCTTTTCTGTTTACCTTCTTCTAATTCGTCTGTACTTTTTTTTTTGCCAATCTTGGGGTTTGCACTCAGGACCTGAGCACTGTCCCTGGGCTTCTTTTGCTTCAAGGCTAGGACTCTATCACTTGAGCCACAGCACCACTTCTGGCTTTTTCTGTATATGTGGTACTGAGGAATCGAACCCAGGGCTTCATGCATGCTAGGCAAGCACTCTACCACTAAGCCACATTCCCAGCCCCAATCTGTACTTTGAAGTAAAACAATTCAATTTGAACTGTGTAAAGTGGAAAGTTTATTCCAAATGCTGAGATTAGGTGTTTACATTTGAATATTTTTACAATATTTTTTGCTCATTTATTCATGATGGGGTATGAATTTTTCTCAGAAATTTAACAAGTCCTTTTTCAAGTCTATTTTGTAGCATATATTTATTTTACAAGGTTTTATGTATATAGTTGTGAATGAAAGGCACATACTTTCTGCTGTCATGGAATTTACAAGTGGTAGACAAATTATGTATGAAAAAATGTTATCATGGTACTGTGATAGATACTAGTGTGATTAGAGAGAATAACAGTTCAGAAGAATGAAAGAATTGTGTGAAGAGTACCCTTCATTTGGAGACTAACAGATGCCAAGAC